GTGAATCTTTCACAGCAGCTTGGTGTGAGATTAAATTTAAGAGTGCGAGTTAATCAGCTGTTTGAGTTAGATAGAAATTAAAGTGAGAAGAAGACAAATTGAAGATCAACACAACTTAAAACAATTCCATCATACCCACATCCAATCGATCAATATTTCAATAAATTAATTTCATCATACCATTTAATATTTAATAATGTAATTATAGATTTCAAGATGTCTATAACATTGAAAATAATGTATTTTTTTTTTTTAATTTTAGAGACAAACGAACTTTTAAAAAAAAATCAAACTCATTTCAAACTTAAAAAATGTTTTATCTACAACTAGAAAAATCACATACAATTATAGCACACTATTAGAATTACTAATTAATAGAGATTTATATAAAAAAAATAAAAAGATACATACAAGTAGGAATGACAAAAAAATTCGCGCCAGCGGATATTCACGGATAAAATCCGTGACGAATAGTTGATACCCGCGAATATTTACTATTCGCGGGTTGTGGGTTGCGAGTAACGGGTATTTTAATAATTGTTTATAAACGGGTCGGGTGCGGATAGTATACTATCCGTACCCGCGAATATCCGCTACCCGCCAAAAATAAAAATAAAAATATAATTATATTTAGTAAGTTAAATTTAATTAAAATTAACATCAATTTATATTTTATAAGGTTAAATTTAATTAAAATTAAATTTTAATTTATATTATATTTTATATATTTTTTGTAAATTTATTTAAATTTTATTTTAATAATTTATAAAAATATATTTTTTTATATATTTGCGGGTATCCATAGATATCCGTTGGTTTTAAAATACCCGCGGATACTTTTTAAGCGGAAATCCGTGCGGGTAGCGGGTGAATTTTTTTTGTTGGGTCGGGTTGCGGGTAGGCATTATCCGTGCCCGACCCGATCCGTTGTCATCCCTACATACAATTGATCGAAAGAAGACTCACATGCAACATTTCACATAAAAGGACCTGAAAAAATATTAAAACTCAATTTACGTGAACTGGGAAATTTATCGGTCCAAGTTAAAGAGCTTGAAAAAAATTAACGGTCCTTCTTTTTTAAGTAATAAAGAGATTACTATATGTAACATTCCATTTAATTAGTATCACTACTAACAGGAAACATCACATGATCAATAAAATAGAACAATTAAACTTTAAAAAAATATAAAATATTCATACACTTATCCAAAATAACCATAAGACTATTACGTATAAACAATACAAAAAGACAAGAAACTAGATAATTACATAAGGCTTTACTCAAACTGTATCTATAACAAAGATCTATACTAAGAAACTACACATCTACACCATCACCCTCCAAAGCTTGCTCTAATAGAACGTCATCACCCTCTACTCACACCCACCAGATGATCATTGCCACAAGAATCAAACATATACCAATAGACAAACACAAAAACACAAAAAAATAGGATAAGCTAATGTGAAAAGAAACAAACATCGCATATCAAGATTTCATTATACATTCTATTCTAACCAAATCAAACCAATCATCCTAATCATGTCATTGAGCTAGATAAAACCATCAAGATAGATGTATTGATGTCAGACTATGACAAGTTTTGCACTTGTAGTGGTGAAACAACTGGCTCCCCCAAGCTACCACACAATATTAATTTGTCTATTACCTATGAACAAAGAATACCAGACCATAGACTAAGACCTCCTGCTACTCCTCACCACATAATCTCCTTCTCTATCCATAATCCCCTTCTCTATCTAAGATGACGCTATTATTGGAGTGTTAGAATAACTTCCAAGACTGAGTTCGTACATCAATACATCACTTACTTGAAACCATCATTAAAAATTGGGTTAAATATGTTTTTAGTCCCTAAACTATTGGCCGTTTCTGGTTTTCGTCCCTGTTTCAAAGTAAGGTACAATTTGGTCCTCATTCTTTTCGAAACGTTCGTTTTAGTCCTCGGAATTTTGGTTTTAGTCCTCATTTGTTGCTAAATGAGGACCAAATTTTTAAGCAGTGTTTAGTTTTCGAGGACTAAAACGAACGTTTTCAAAAAGAATGAGGACCAAATTGTACCTTACTTTGAAACAGGGACGAAAACCAGAAACGACCAATAGTTTAGGGACTAAAAATATATTTAACCCTTAAAAATTTCACTATAGAAATTCTTTCCAAACCATACTTGAGTTCAATCACAAAATTTCCATACCATCATATATTTCAAATCATATCACTAAGTATTAAATATAACATCACACCATTTAAATCCAAGCACAAAAGAGAAGAGAAAAACAAAACAACCAAGACAACTCAAACACACTTGCCCAACGCCAAATTCACGGCACCTAGCAAGCACAAGCTCGCCCAACGAGCACTATCCACTTGTCGAGCAAGAGTCCAAATAAAGGACTTCTCCAGCCCAACGAGCTTACTCTCATAGCCGTTGAAACTCACTATCAAAACCCCATAATACTCGCCCAGTGAGTCACTAGCTCGCCCATCCACTCTGCATAATTATGCAAAATACCAATTCTAAATAATTTGCATCCTCTCAACCTGCCCTGACCTATCTTAGGAATTTCTACCAACTTCTAACACTCTTAAATGGTATTCTAAACCACAATAGACCTATCCAGTGTATATGATCCAACCTAAACTAAGTTTAAACTCATTTTACTATGAAATTCCAACTTACAACAACTAAAACACCACTTTATAGACCATAAATCAATTCTACCTAATTTAACTCTTAACTAAGCAATTTAGGGGTCAGAACAAGTTACAAATAACTCAAAAACATATCCCAACCACTCCAAATTGCCTTAGATCTTTCAAATCAAAATTTCACTCTCCATAACCTCTAAAATTGCACCTAAAAGTCATTCAAACACAATCTCGTGTCTACCATCCATTTATAGACCATCTTTCTACTAACTTACCACCCAAACAAATCTTAAATGACCACACAACAGATCCTAAATCACCATTTCTCCCTTTAAACCTTTGCTTCCAAAACTCACCTATAAAAAACATCTCTTTTTGACAAAGAATGACCTATAATCCTACTAACTCATTTCTCTTCCACATTTTCAATCCAAAATAATATTACCAACTTCAAAATAATAATATTCATACGATTACTACAATCCAACACATGCTCAAACAAGCCATTAAATAACATACAATTAATTTCACTCGTCAAAACACAATTACCATCAAAACAAGCTCAATTACAACAAAATCATCATATTATCATGTCAACAATCAATCATACTTGAAATAAAGAGTTTAAGCATAAGCACTAGCTTCCCTTACCTTATCAGAAAATCTATTAAGCTCTACACAGTACTCTACTTTTGCTTTGAGCTTAAGAAACTGTAAAAAAAACCAACAAACCACATAAACATGACTAAAACAAGTTCTTAGGACCTCTCGTCAATGAAGATCTAGAAAAGGAAGCTAAAAGACACATGCGAAGGAACCCTTATGCATAACCTCAAACTAAGAGGTAAAGGAAAAAATGAGCAGAAACTTACTTGTTCTAGAAGGAAAATTGATCTAATAATGATGGAGAGTACACTATCATGATCTCCTAGAAGATTTCTGATAATCATACAGATGATTTAAGAGTCAAAGATTCTAGAGAGAAAAAAAAAGGAACTCAAAGAAATAGTTATAAAGAGATGACGAGTGTTTTAGATAATGAGACGAATTTATAAAATTTTATTTATATTATTAAATTATTTTAACTTTAAAATATTCGATCTCATTATTTTAAAACACTTATTAACTTTAATATTTTATTTTCTAGGTTTCACAATATTTACTTGATTACATAATAAGAATTAATATGTAATTTGATTAACTGCAAAGTATAATTAACATTTTATATACTTTTTTTTTGCAAATTCATACAAATTCTATATTTAAAGTTATTGTTATTGTAGGCAAAATATGCATGCGATAAAGTTTTTCTTTTTCTTTTAAATCCAGATGTAATTTTTCACCTACTGATGATGTTCAAATTAGATAGTCTGATTTCTGAAATTAGATATTCTAACATTCAAATTAAATATATATATATATATATATATATATATATATATTTATAAACAGTAATATATACTAAAATGAATATAAAAAAATTACCTAATTATCTGATTTGATGAATAATATTATTTATAATATTTTCATGAATTTTTATTTAAATTAATACATTAAGATTTTGCTTATCTATCTTTTTCTCCAATCTTTTAATCAATCGTCCTAACCTTCAATCTAATCAAAGTGTACGTTGTTACTATGATCAATATGTTTATTCCTATAAGATGTCGTCTTGAGCTGATGACATTATTTCGGTCCTAAATAAATGTTATAAATAAAATTTTCAAATATCAATTATAGCGATGAATATAGAAGCTGACAAAAAAAAAATATACTCCATGGAAAAGAAACTGTACAGAGGCAATTGAAAATAGAATACCAAAAACATACGAACAAAACTGCAAGTACTAGAAGAAAAAATAAAAGGAATACGGGAGGATCAGTAATAATTTATAAGAATAATTCTTTAAGGAAAAATACAATAAATAAAATTGAAAGTGAAAGAAATAGGATTAAGGAATTGAAGCAAAATAAAATTTTATATTGATTGTAAGAGTAACCACCAAAAAAAGGAAAGAAAAAAAATCAATCTGAGAAGGGAGTTGGGAGAAGTGGTTGGAAGAACCACTGAAAAGGAAAAGGGTTTGAAGAGACGTATATAGGATATAATTAAGATTAGAATTTTTAACCATAATAGTGTAATTTTCTTTCAAAATTATTAGAATGAACAGAAATTTAAAATTTATAAAAATGGAAAAGTTGTGTTTGATAAAATCAGCTTTATAAATTAGGTTTTATAGTAACTTCCATTAGATTGATATTAAGATACCTAAGGCATAGGCAAAGAAGAAGAACGAAGGGTAAGACTGTCATTTCATTATACATGTGGTGTAGAAAACATGGGGTGCGTGACGCAATTGCCTCAATTCAATTCGAGTTTGAATTCAAAAAATGCACATCTAATCTTTGTTCACTGTAGAAGCGACGCCTTCAAGTGTTTGTGAAAATGCCAGACAAAAACTCTTATGTAGACCGTCAATTCCTCACCCCACGAAGGTCACCCAGGTTCCTCCCACAACTAAACCACACTATTGCCAACCCCAAATCTGCCACCGTTTCCGTAAAGAAATCCAATGATTCTACAGTCGGGTCGAGAATATCTCCGAGGCTTAACAATGGGGACGTTGGGTTTTCATCTCTTCGACGATCTCCCAGGTTCAACAACGAGCCAAGCGATAAGAAAGTGAACGGCACGAGGGTGAAGGGCGGTGAAGCTGAAACGAAAGAAAAGTGTGTCGTTTTGGATGAGGGGTTTGGTGGAGGAAGAAAGAAAGAGAGAAAGGAGAAGAGGAATGAAGTTAGAACGCACGATAATCATGGCGTTTCGGATGAAGGGTGTCGTCAACGAAGGAAGAAGGAGAGAAACAGGGGGAGTAGGGATGGAGTTAACACCCAAGGAAATCGTGTCATTTCAGATGAAGGGACTGGTGGGGGAGAAAAGAAGGGGGTAAAAGGGAAGAGGGTTGGAGTTGAAACGACCAGAAATGGTGTCGTTTCGGATGAGGGTGCTGGTGGGGGAAGAAAGAAGGGTGGAAATAGAGAGATCGTTGGAGTTAAAACAGAAGAAAATCGTGTTGTTTGTGATGAGGGTTTTGGCGGAGAAAGAAAGAAGAGGGGAAATGGAGAGAAGAGAAAGCGCAATGACGATGAAATAAGGAAAGGATGGACCAAGGAACAAGATTTGGCTCTCCAAAGAGCATATCTTACTGCAAAGCCTAGCCCCCATTTCTGGAAGAACGTTTCCAAACTGGTATGCATCCCTCTCTGTGTGTATGCAGTAGAAAAAATTGACTTTTGGTTTGACATCAACTTGGAACAAAGTTTGTGATTCATGCTGTTGCTATTTAACTGAAGTTGAATGTTTGGGATTGGCTTGTGTAACCCTTGGAAGCTGACTGTTATGTGGTTGGTTTACGGTTTAAAGAGTTTTGATATGATTGTTGATAATGGGAAAATGGATTCAGAAAATGAAGCAGTTTGCTATACTTTGAAAACTTAGTTGATGATTGTCTTGTTTTGCCTTTGTTTTGTTGTCTGCTGAAATGTTACAAAACAGATATGGTGCTTCAAGTGTGTGCTCAGAACTTGCATGCTATTTTCAGCTAAGAATTACAGTGAATAAGTTATAATGTACTCTTTTAGGGCAAAACAATAATTCTGAAAGGTGACAGATGTTTCTGTTTGAATGCAATGCTGTAGAATGAAGTGATACTAGGTTTCATCTTGTTGTATCCTATCATGGTGCAGTAACTCAAGTAATAGGAATTCCAATGAATTCCAAGAACACAGAAGGTACAGGAAACTCTGAACAAGAAAGACTTTGGAGGATCTTTATTGATATAGAGAATAAGATAAAGAAGAAAAGTTTTACAATTGCATCAGCAATCCCCCCTTTCAGCCACAACAGATATTGTTTAGAGTTAGTGAACTACTCAACTAACTCATCAACGAACTCGACCAACTCTGCTAAAAACCAGTGGAAAGACTCTGATCCAGAATGTAGACTCCTGTGATTAGTTTTGTCACAAAGTGTCTATGAGTAGGTGTGTCTCCATTTTTGGACTGCAAAAAAACCCCAATCAGTTCCTTTTCATAAGTGGAAAGAGTTTGGTGTTGAGTAAAAATTCTACTAATGAAAGCCAAAGGATGATATTCTTGCTTTAACACTGAACCAATTTCATATCAGGAAGCATCCACTTATACTATGGAAGTTTTATTGAAATATGGTAGAGCTAGAACAGGAGCTGATATCAATCCCCTTCTAACTAAAATTAGAGTGACTCCAAGTGGAACTAAAATTATCTTTCCTGAACATATCAGTTAATGGCCTTGCTATTGTGTCATATCCTTTAACAAACCTCCTATTATAGTTAGTAAGACCACCTAAAAAACTTTTAGTTGTTTAACAGTTTGAGGAAAAGGCCAATCTTTGACAGCCTGAATCTTTTCAGGATCAGTAGAGATTCTGATTTTTTTTAAAGGAAATTACCATTATAATCCACTTTATTCATTTCAAAGTAGCATTTAGTTCTTGGCAAACAGATTATTTCCCTTCATGACTGACAACACCTTGCTCAAATGTGGTATATGTTTAGATTCACTGGTGCTATAAATCAGTATATCATCAAAGAAAACTTACAAAAAAGTTTCCTAGAAATTTCCTGAAAACAGCATTCATCAAACTTTGAAAAGTTGCACGAACATTTAGAAGTCCAAACGATGTGACCAAATATTCATAATGCCCACTGTGTCTTGGATGCAGTTTTGTGTAAGGATCCATCCTCTCTTGATGGAAACCTGCCCTCAGGTCAATTTTGGACAAAATAACGGAACCATTCAATTCATCCATCGAGTCTTCTACCAAAAGAATTAGAAACCTGGCTTTAACTCTACACTTGTTAAGCTACCTATAATCAACACACAATCTCCAAAAGCCATCTTTTTTTTCAATTAAAACATCAGGACTAGCATAATAATTGAGCTGTTCTGAATAAAACAGGAATCCAAATCTCCTGAACAACTTTATGAATAATGTCCTTTTCATTCCCTGCATATTTGTTAGGTCTTTTATTTAATGTGTCAGCCCCTTGCAACGGTAAAGGCTTTCATCACTCTTGTGGGCTGAAACATCCTAACCATCATCTGAATATCATGTTTAAGCCCTCCTAGGAAACAACTATTCTTCAGAAAGGTCCAATCGATTAATTATGGCACCAAATTCTTCATGATAGGACGTAACAGTGGAATGTTTCCTCAAATCCATCAGTTCTACCATTGGATCTTCCCCAATTTTACCAAATCTATCCATTAACAATTCGCATATGCAATCTAAGATGGCCAATGATTATGATTAATAGATTTAACAAAAGCCTGATGCCACTGCAAAGTTTTACAACTTCAAAATGCACAACTGCCAGACGTATCTTAAATTCTTCAGGAGTAAAATCAATGGCAAAGTACATTTCGCATTGGCAAATCCATTGATTCACGTTCTCACCATTGAATCTTGGAGATTCTATCTAAACCAAGGTCCACATGAATAAGGAGCAGCAGAATGTGAACGAATGTTACCAGAACCAGATTCTTGGACGTCATCTGGAACGTGATTTTGTCTATGTCCTGAATTGTTAGCTCATGGTAACTTTTCCGAATCTTCGGATTTTTTTGGAGTAGTTCAGTAATGGTGCCTTTCAAGTGTGTTCATGTAATTTCTTTTGCACAGCACCTACCAATTCCCCAATTTTTGCTTCAATCTTCTCAGAAATGCAATTTTCTAACCGTTCTTCCATTTTGTGTAAATACGCTTGCGTTCTTGTTGATTCCACCACTTCTGAAGGAGTGTGTTCAGGAACGTGACAGCTGATACCAGTTAATACAATTGCATTCAGAACCTCCCCTTCAGTCACAAACAACAACTAATTAACTAACTCAAAAAATGGCTACTTTAACATATCAAATAGGAGGAAGGAATGGAATGTAACACTTTGCTTCCCCTAGAAAATAGGGATATGATATGAGATGGTTTCCATTTCATCCTAAAAATATACAGAACAATGGCATGTTAACTTTATTCCATCCGATATCATTTTATTTAACGTCAATCATGTATCCAGACATTGAGGAACTGTTGTTGAAAGTTTTAGACAATTTTATTTCTTTATGTACATTTCTTAAAGAACAAATTTAGTTTTGTAGTCTGTCCGTAGTCAATTGCTTGTCAGGTACATGCGGATGCAGCTAGCTTATAGATATGTTTTATTCTTGTATTGGTTGAACCATTGCCATTCAAAATATGTTGCAGGTGCCTGGAAAGTCTCAACAGGAATGCTTTGATAGAATTCACATTGACCATGTGACTCCAGTTCAATTGCAGCCTCGATCAAGGGCAAAGACATTAAAATCATCACCCATTCAGGAATTTTCTTTATCTGCAAGTAAACTTCTCAACCCTATTGACATAAAAGTTAGAAGATCTAATGTTCTAAAACCAAAGAACATTATTACCCAGAAGTCTGTTGAGAAGCAGTTACAGCGCAGGCTTGCAGGTGATCTAGACCGTGCAGGGGACATATTTTCCGTTCTTGAACCAAACATAGATTTGTCCACTAATGCTTTACAGCCTAGTGAATCCCTTTCTACTCCAAAGCAGCTAAAGGAAAACAAAGGGTTCCTGCAAAGTTACACTGAAACATCATCTTCAAGTGGTAATAAGGTACTTTCAAGATTTAGTGGCTCGCACAATACAGATCTTGTTAGTCCACCGGTACTAAAGAAAGTAAAGAACAGGGTATTGCATGAAAAATATGTCAATAAATTGCGCTGTAGGGAATCTAGGAGAAGAGCAGCCTCTACGAATATAATTGGTGAAGGAAGAAGCATAAAGAAAAAGGATGCAGTTAAAGCTGCAAAAGTTGCCTTGGTTTCTGAAGCTAGAGATGCTATCAACAAATTTCGACAATCGCAAGTCAATGTCATGGACAACGGCTGCAGTTCTGATGAAGTTAACGATGATGACATTCAATATGAAGATGAAAGTCAATAGGTTCTAGTGAAATTGTAGTCCATAGCCTAGTCATAAACTGATTTTTTCTATGCTTCTATTATACCCATCTTTTCAAAATTTGAGATGAATTTGTTTTGACAGATAATACTTCTAAAAGAAGAAAAGAACAATAAACTGATTAAGGATATTTTAGAAAAATTCATTAATGTATTATTTATTTAATTAATTACAAACGAATCTTATAAAAAGATATAACTAGTTCTTTTGAAAGGGTGTAAGAAATAGTAATGGATGAATTTTTATGGATTTGACATTGCAGTGCCTTTACGACTACTTTTCCCCGCCACGGCAAATTTATTAGAGTTGAGTTCAATTGCAAATTTATTAGAGTTGAGTTCAATTGCTCCTCAAATCTTGACTTCTACCATATCTATATACATTAACAATAATTCTGATGAGAACTGTATTTAATTGTTGAGAGTGATTATTTTAAAAGCATAAAAAAAATTGAGAATATATCTCTTTTCACTTTCGATAGAAAGAAATTAAGAAGATATGCAAGCATAAAAAAAGAGGGGAAGATCGAAAGATAGAAGTATGAAAACAAAATTAAAACATATTTTTTTTTTGTTTCTTGATAACGTGGATGCAAGAAGAATAAATAGTTTTAAAAAATTAATTTTCATTTTTATTATTGAGTTCAGTGTTTCATTTTAATCTTTGTTTTTTTTTTAGCCTGACTACCATGGACACTGGGATAAAAGGTTAGAAAAAGAAAATAATATTCATCATGTAGCTTTTGAATTACAGGTAACTCCACAATTTTATTCTATCCTTAATTTAATTTGATTATGAAAGTAATTATTTACCTGAATAAGATTTACATGAAGATAAGATAAATATGACCTAATCTTTTGGTATGACTTAAAGTTGATTTTGATATTTTTAAACTTAAAAATAAATATCACATATTTCTTTTAGTATAAGTTCTGGTTGTATTTTGAATTGTCTCATTGATATTATTTTAATATTATTTAATAGAAGAACCTTATAATTTTGGTTTAAATACAACGTAATTAGCATAACAGAATGGTAGCACAATAGATTAATCTTTTCTGTTTTAACAACAAATTAATCTTTTCTGTTTTAATGGGCATTCTAAAATAACAATGAGCTAGATAATACATAATATGCCTTTATCCTTCAAGGTTTTAGGTCACACCCATTCTTTTTGTTCAGACTATATATATGATGTAATCATTGAGAATCAATAGACTGAAATTTATGTAAATTGCCTTTTCTTCTATTTTATGTTATGGTATCAGAGCCTAGTTAAGAGTTTATCCTAGCGAGTTCTATGTGGGTATTCTATTCTTCTATTTCACCCGCTATCGGACCACCCATTAATTTCTACTATCACGCTCGAGATGTTTATACCTCGGCGTGAAGGGGGTGTGTTGGAAGTCCTACATCAATTAGAGATAAGGCCAAATTATAATATCTAAGTGAGGTGCAAACCTCACCTTACAAGCTGGTTTTATGGGGTTAAGTTAGGCTTAAAAACCCACTTTCTAATATGGTATCAAGAGCCCTCTAAAGGTTCAAGCTTTTTCTAGCTTACTCTCTCATGGCCTATTTAGGCTCCTCTGGAAATGAGGAGGAAGACATTCCACCACCTCCTCCTCCCTTTGTTGATCCTAACAGAAATCCTTCAAGCCTCTTCTACATACACTCAAGTGAGAGCCCTTCATCTGTTGTGGTTTCTCCACCTCTCTCTACCAACAACTTCCAGTCATGGTCCCATTCCTTCTGAATGACCCTTATTTCTAAAAACAAGATGGGCTTTCTCAATGGCGCCATCCCCATACCAACAACCATCGATCCCTTATACCCCTCTTGGGAAAGATGTAACACTCTGTTAATGTCATGGATTCTTAATTCCTTTTCTCCTTCAATCGCTCAAAGTGTTGTGTTTTTTGAGCGAGCCACTAATGTCTGGACTAACCTTCGCGAACATTTTTCTCAAGGAGATTTTCTTGGTGTCGCTAAGTTACAGGAAGAAATCTATTCTCTCAAACAAGGTGCGCTCTCCATCACCGACTTCTACACCAATCTGAAATCACCGTGGGAAGAGTTGGACAACTACCGAACTCTAACCCCTTGTTCTTGCTCTGCTCGCACCTACCATTCACAGGATTTCATCATCCATTTTCTAAAAGGGCTTGACGATCGATTTGCCATGGTTCGCTCACAAATCTTATTACTTGACCTTCTTCCCTCTACTAATCGTGTTTTCTCCATGATCATCCAACATGAGCGCCGACAACATAACCCATCTTCTTCCACGGAAACCAATCCCTTCATCAATGCTGTCTCTAGTAAAGGCCGAGGCCATCCACAACCAAGGGGGACAAAACAAACTCGTAAATGTGATTTTTGTGGCCGCCTCGGACACACTATTGATTCGTGCTTCCAGAAAAACAACATCACTACAACAAAGTGCATCCATTGCGATCGTGTTGGACATAACAGTGATGTGTGTTATACCAAGTTTGGCTATCCTCCTGGACATCACAAATATCCAGGAAAGCCACGCCCTTTCAACAACAAGAACACTTTTGGTGGCAGCGGCACAACTGCTAGAGGCACCGTGAATAATGTTACTGCCTCTTCCTCTTCAGATGTTGCACCGACCCTAACTCATGAAGGAGAAAGGAAAGATATTTCAACTCTAGCCAAGGTCTTCACATTACTACGACCCAATTCCAACAACTAATGAGTCTTCTAAACAAAGCTTCTGGATCAGGCGGGGGAAACTCAGAAATCCCTTTAAGGGCCAATCTCTCTCACTCAAACCCAAACCAATCTCACAACTCTGGTCTTGGCAGTAAGTTTATTTCCATTAACACCGCACACACAATTAATAATTTTTCACACACCATACCATGGGTAATTGATTCCGAAGCCACTGATCACATCACAACTTCATTAGATCATTTTTTTAAATATTCTGAAATCAAGCCATGAAACGCCAATTTACCAAATGGGTCTACTATTCGGGCCCATATATCTGGAAGCATACAATTCTCTCCGGATTTCATTATCCATGACGTTTTTTTTGTTTCAAACTTTACTTTTAATTTATTATCTCTTCCTAAATTATTAACTACTGCTCCTTGCCGTATAATTTTTTTAAATGAGTTCTCTAATATCCTTTGTCAAATACAGGACATGAACACATTGAGGATGATTGGTTCAGCTAACTTAAAGGAAGGACTTTTTCATTTGACAATCGGAAATGAAAGGAGCCCATATACTAATAATGTTACTGCCACCACCATCAATAACTCCAACCTTTGGTACTTTAGATTAGGACATTTATCTAGTAGCCGTCTTAATGTCTTGAATCAACAATTTCCTTTTATTTCAAAGGATTCTAATGAAATTTATAACATTTGTCATTTAGCTAAACAAAAGAAGTTGCCTTATTCTCCTAGCTCTAGTAGAGGTTCTAAAATTTTTGATTTGATTCATATGGATATTTGGGCCCCTTTTTCAAAACATCTATTCATGGACACAAATATTTTCTCACTATACTTGACGATTTTAGTAGATACACATGGATTGTTATGTTAAAATCAAAAAGTGAAGTGATAACGCATATACAAAATTTTATTAACTTAGTTGAAAATCAATTTGAAACCATAATCAAAATGTATCTGATCCGACAATGGACTGTAATTTTTTCTAAAAGACCTTTTCAATTCTAAAGGAATTATACATCAAACTAGTTGTGTTTACACACCTCAACAAAATGGGAGAGTGGAATGCAAACATCAACACATTCTCAGTGTTGCTAGGACCCTCATGTTTCAATCCAAAATCCCATCAAATTTTTGGTCCTATGCTATCAAACATGTTATTTTTCTCATTAACCGCATTCCCTCACCCATCATTTCATATAAAACGCCTTTTGAACTTCTAAATAAAGTTACACTTGATTTTTCCATGATCAAAATCTTTGGTTGTTTATGTTATGCATCTACTTACAATCAAATTCATAAATTTTAACCTCGATATAGAAAATGTGTTTTTTTTATAAGTCATTCGAAACTATTTTATTCAAATAATAAAATTTTATAATTTATAAAAAGAAATTGGTATAATGTGGTATTCTTTTAAATAAATTTGCTAATTTTAAAATATATATATATGTAAAATAAAACTTAATCTAAATTTATTTTTGTTTTATTCCAAGATTTAATTATATATAATGTAAAATTAATGCCATATAAATTATCCCTATAGGAAACTTCAAAAATACGAGTGAGCATTATTTATTTATTCTATAATAAATACTTAATATTATAATTACGTTTAATTCTTCATTTGTCGGTAGCGTCAGTAGTCCAACGGTTAGGATAATTGCCTTCCAAGCAATAGACCCGGGTTCGACTCCCGGCTAACGCATTCTTCTGCTAATTTTAAGTTTCTTTTTACCCTTTTAATGTTGATTGATCCTTGAAGATGAGCTTTAATGCAATGTTGAATTTTGTCATCATCTAGTTAGAACTCAATTCATATGTCATTGAAAAGGGATGATTTTATGGGACTTTATTAGTATCACTGTAAAAAGTGAACGAAGCTATATTTCTTGTCATGCCAGTGCCGTCTGTTTCCACCAGCTTTATGTGATTTACTATTTAGTTTCTGAGGTAAAATGAAGAGTAATTTTTCTGAGTCACAAATGGTAGCTCATTATTGTTGTTGTACTTTGGAAATTAGAAATTCTCAAGTTATCTTGCCTTAGCAGTAAGTTTAGCTCTTCAAATCAAAAGCCACCATCAAGCTGAAACTTTCCCTATCTAGAACTAAAGAGGATAGTATTCATTTCAACAGTAATGTTCTAATAATGGAGCTTATATATACCACGTCCTGAAATTATTGAGAAATGATAAAGCAACTTGCCAGATTTTAAATCCTTTTATAAGTGGTTGTTATCCAATTCACTTAGCTACCTTACTTCTCATAAAGTGTTAGGTTTCTGACAGATGAGAACCCTTTTAAAATCGTGTCATACACTTGG